AAAAAAAAAAAAAAAAAAAAAAAATGTTAATGGCCAAATATCATTATCCTAGACCTATTGCTTATTAAGAAGAAGTCACTCAAAGGTTTTAAACATATTTGACCCCTGTGACCTTGAATATAAGTCAAGGTCTTTCATTTGAACAAATGAATAACATTGACCAACTTTCAAGGTCACATGGGTCAAATGTCTTAAAATCTTCAAAAAACTTCTTTTCAATAACCGAAAGGCCTAGGGTGATGATATTTGGCCAGTAGCATGCTTGGATGAAGGGCTACCAAGTTTATTCCAATGAATGACCTTGACAAACTTTCAAGGTCACAGGGGTCAAATGTCTTAAAATCTTCAAATGACTTCTTCTCAATGACCAAAAGGCCCAGGATACTTATGTTGGGCCTGAAGCATGCTGGGGAAGGGCTACCAAGTTTGTTCAAATGAATGACCTTGACCCACTTTCAAGGTCACAGGGGTAAAATGTCGTAAAATCTCCAAATAACTTTTTCTCAATAACCAAAAGACCCAGGGTACTGAACGAATGACATTGACCCACTTTCAACCTAATGTCCTTGTTCAACATTGAAGGTCACAGGCTTCATATGTTTAAATCTTTTAATAGGTTCTTATGAATCAAACACTGATATTCTGCCTGAAGCTGTATTTTAGTCCACTTTTAAGATTACAAGTGTGAGATTAATACCAGGTGAGCGATGCAGGCCCATTGGGCCTCTTGTTTTTGTTTTGCCCTGATATGGAGTTGACATATTTTGCACTAAGTTTCATGTTACTGAGCATCACTTGAGATTTCCCTGACTTGGTGTCCAATAAAAGCATTATAGTTTCGATAAACAGATGGACATCATTTAAAAAGAATTAGTACTGTATTAGTAGTGTTTATGTGTATATGTACCTGACACTGCTGGAATCCAGCTCTTCTGTGGTTTCATCTGGGGTGGAGACCATTTGTCCCGGGCTCCTCCACCATGACCTGACACAATGACATTCCAAGGTTCAAATCGATTCTGTACAGTCTTGATAAAAAGGTCAACAGTTTTCTGACTGACATCACAGAGATACACGTCCCTAATACAACATCCAGGATTGTCTCCGTAAAAGTCATCCACAGCCTCTACAATGGTTCTGGTAGACTTGTTGGCCGGGTAACCAAAAACATCTGAAAATCATAAATAATTTAAGGAATTCAAAAATCCCCATCATAATTGCACAGTTCTTTTTATTAAAGATTTTTTATGATTTCATATTTCATGTTAACTCATTCCCTAGTTTATATTACATCAAATACAGTGAATATTGAATGTTTGCCTGTTGATTGGCCTGTACTACAGTTAAACCTGCTTGTGTGGCACCTGTATAAGACAAATTAACCGTTTGTCTTATGCATCCACTTATCTGAAAGTATGTGAACAGTGCTAAGTGAGAACCCCGGCCAGAGGCGCACTTCTTTTGTTAAACTTTATCTATATGGGTATATGATTATACCAAAACTATTTACTAAAATATCCTACCTCCTATTTCCATATCCCCTACACTTTTTCCCTCCCTTTCATGAAATTTGTCAATTATACCAGGGTATTTATACAGTTGAACTATTGCGTTATCATGTATTGTTTTATAATTCGATCAGGAAAATGCATAAACAAGTTGTGATAACTTGCGCCTATAATCCTTTTGTTGTATTTTGCAAGAAGACTTAATTAAGATAATGTTACCACTTCACATTCCTCCCAACCATTTTTACAATTAACTGTATTAAATGACTTTCAGTCAAATGCAAACACCCTTTTCCAACCCACAATAACACTGTAAGCCATGAAGGCATAGTTACAAGAATTACGCATAATAAGATGTCTCACCTGTTCCCGCTTTGAGCATAACATTCAATG